CTTTCCTTTTTAGTTTTATTTTAGGATTCCCTATTTTTAATGTTCATACAGAGATTTCTTTAACTGAAATACCGAATAGGTTCTTTGGTGTGAAAAACTATAATAGTACACAGGATCCTGATGAGATAATTAATAATGTGAAATAGGAAGTAAAGGGCTAAAGGCGTAGGGAAAGTGGGAAGGGTGGGGGAAAGGTAATAAGGGAGAGGAAAAAAATATGAGAAACTGAAAAAAATGGAAATAAAGTGTTTGTAAATGGGGAGGGGAGGAGGGGGTGAAGGGAGGGTAGGGACAAGGGGAAAAAATGAGAATCAAGACCTATTATGTAAAGGTACAGAATCCCAATGATGAATGTAACTGTATTGTATACCTAGATTGTACCAATAAACTCAATAAAAAGAAAAAAAAATGTTCGCATCAGCTGTATACTTGCTCACAAAATCTAAAAGATAACATCAGAAATAAAAAACTATGTGAATTACAATGTAAATACGAACAGCAGCCCGCCACAGAAATAATCTTTGCTTCATCTGTCACACCTAAGGCAGTCTTCACATATGAAAACTGCATGTTCTATACAGAAGTATCACTTATACTGATAGTGGGTATGTTTTGTTTTCCTGTCCTTCTTGTAGGGCACAGTTGACTTCTTTGTTGTTGTTGTTTTCCTGTTGTCATAGTAGGTCTTTGTAATGCTGTGCCTGCCTGTTCACATGTCAGCTCACCAGTATGCTCCACAATTTTTTTGTGTAGTTCCCTGGGCAGAAACATTTTGTTTTCCTCTGCTGTAAATGATCTCTCATGAAATCATTCTTCCTAATCCTGTATGAAAATTTCTCCATGGTATTTTGCACTTGTTATTTTCTTTGTAAACTATCAAATTATTTATGCCACACATATGTAGGATCTAGTAAAATACTAACTATTGGCTAACACTTTGTGTTTTGTGTTTTTTTGTTTTGTTTTGCTTTTTGGTACCGGGGATAGAATTTAGGACCTTTCACTTGTGAGGCAGAAGTGGAAATACTTTGTGTTTTAAGTGACATAGTTGCTGAATAACTGATCAACAATATATTCTTCCTTTGGTTTTGTTGTAGAAAGTTACAATCTCAGGCTTCTGTTTGTTGAGGATTCCCTATCAATATTTCCATCACGGTGCAATGTTAACATCATCATAACATTGTTTATGAGGCCTCTGTTATATCTCTCCGAAATCTAAAGATTGTACTATATGGTTCTCTGTTTTGAAATTGCAATCTTTCATTTGGAGTTTCTGCTTTGTTCCTGAATG